AAACAGTCACTACATCTGCTGTGAAGAATGAATTTAACCTCAGGCTCAGATTAGTACAGGCCACAGTGTTTTGCCTTTCTCTGTAGCAGGGGCATGGTCTTCTTCCTGGGTTATCAAGTATATTTACTGTATTTCCCCAAATCCAAGACAACCCTAAATTTAAGGCAGTGCACCAATAATGGAGAGCTAAGCAGTTATGGGGAGAAGTGGGGGGTTAAGCAGTTATCCCCTGCCTCTTGTCCTCTCCACGGCCTTGATTCCCCCACCACCTCTTCCCCTCTGCCACCTTGGGCTCCCCACCCCTCCTTCCCCCGAATAGTTCCCGGTGACAGGCCACAAGTGCCTACTGAGCAGCTTCCTGCTGTTCTCCTGGCTCAGCTGCAGTTGTTTCCCTTCTAGCTACCTAGAACGCTGCCCTACTGGCCTATTGCTCTGCAGTGTGTCCGGTTTCCACTTTCTATATTGAGTCCATGAGTTTCCGTACCTAGGAGGCTGATGAAGTGCAGTTCATAGGCCCAGCTCTGAAAAGTGGTTTGTACTTTAAAACAAGCACCTAACCTCATCACCAGAACTGAAGCCAACTGCCTACAGCTCAAAACAGAAAACCTGCCAACTATCTCCAGTACCCCCACAAACTGCACACCAGAATCTGTCAAACACAACAATCCCCAACTACCTGTGGGGGCACGTTCCTCACCAAAGAAACACTCTGCCTCCAGTCTCTCAGGCCTGATCCTGAGGGGGAACAAGTTACAAACCACTTTTCACAGTCGGGCCTATGAACTTCACTTCATCAGTCTCCAAGGTACAGAAACTCATGGACTCAATATAGATAAGACAGTGAAATTTTGACACATTGCAACCTGCCAGATATGTGACTCCCCAGGTACCTCTGCACCTGTGCTGCTACATCCCCCTTTCCCCCCCACCCCAGCCTGGGGTTGGAAGGGACCTCAGGGAAGCGTGACAGTCACTAGCCAGCTGCACGTGTCAATAATGAGAGCACTCCTCCCCCCCCTCCTTCCCCTTACTTTACTTTCTCTTTCCCGGCAGGGAAGCCATTGAAGGCAAGCCTCAGCAGGGAAGCCATTAAAGGTAAACCCAGCTTCATAGTCAAACCTCAACACGTTTCAAATTTTTTGAAACATTTCAACTTGCCCTGTTTTGTTCTGACCCTGTTTCAAGCCTCCCTGTTTTGTTTCAACTTTCCTGTTTCAAGGTGGAAACAGTGTCAAAACAAAACGGGCGGCAAAATTTCACACAGCCTTACTGATTACAACACCAGTGACAAACTCTTCAGGGCATGGACTGTGCTGTCTTTTGGCTGGGAAGCACATGTGCATTTATGAATGCTAATTAACAAGGAACTCGTTATCCTACCAGTCATGGGGGAAGGCAATTTATTTAATGTTCCCGGATTTTATTATAAAGTCTTACTTAAACATTTGCCTATGCTTTGATTAATTTGATTACTGTTTGTGCTCAAGGGTATGCTTTAGCCATCATATTGCAAGTGAGACATTATCTAGTCCTTTTTCTAGCACTCCTCTGAGCAACAGCACCTTATATTTAATAGTTATCAGAGAAACAGGATAGAGACTAATGGGAACACTTCTGCCTCGCTGGAACCCAGGCCCTGCTCCTTTCCAGCAGCACCTATCACACTGAGCCATCCTCCAGTTTGTTTTCTTCCTCCTCTTCCCACATCTCTCTGTCTCTTGAGTGCCTAGGAGGCCATTTTCAAAGGCAGGTTGAAGGACCAGCTGATGCTATAGTTGTAGTATAGTTAGAACAAACTATAGTTGTAGTATAGTTAGAACAATGTTCTGGGAAGTCAAAGAGCTGCAAGTTCAAACCCCTTCCAGGTGAGGCTTACTAGCTGGGTCTCCTGCCTCTAGGGTGAGTACCCTGACCATTAAGTTCATAGGAATTAAAGATGGGAGAACTATCTTCTTCAAGCATCTGACGCTCACTAGTCATCAGCTTTAGGTAGACAGAATTGTGACTAAAATCCAGTACACACCTGTACATAGCCATATAGCTGCCACTCCAGCATGTAACTGGGTGTGTGCAGTAGCTGTGTGGATGCTTACACAGTCACACTTTCCCTGGTTTATGAGGGTCTTTCCAACTGCAAAGTGAGAGAGAATCGTTTTTGAAAAATTGGACAACTGAATCATCAAAAAACAATCACATTTTCCTATTTCTAAAAGTGTTTTCTTCTGTTTTATTGTAAAAGACAATTGCAGGGACTCTGACTAGTGTAGCCATAAACATTTGTAAGTATTTTCAGGTTGCTAGTGTCCCTTTCATAGCTAATATTTAGCACAAGCAAATAACACGGACCAGGATCATTCTATGATACAATGTATGAGTTCTTCCCTTCTTGTTCTCTCCGAGGTCTTACCTACAGACATCCTGCATGCCCTCCCAAACCTCCCCCTTGTCGTCCCCCTTTCCCCCCACGTTTTGGGTCCCAGTGCCTGCCTTTTTTGGGTGTGCCTGACATTTTGGGTGTGCCTCCATGCGTTTTCCATGAAGGAAGATCTTAGATGTGAAGAACACAAGCATGGCACATAATAGTAATGCAGTGTACAGGTGTTCTCTTTTTAATCCTAGTGCCTGCTGCAGATGTTAGTGCCCCTACTTCTTTGTCACTGGTCTGCTCTTTGTTGGGTTTTTTGCAGCTATCTAAGCTTCGCTTTCATTGAGAAAGGTAAGAATTTCTTAGGGTGACATCTTCTATTGGACCAACTATGTAGTTGGGATAAAGTTAAACATACTTTCAAATACAAGATCTGAGACCTGATGAAGAATATCTTGGACTACTGTATGCCTACCTACAAAGAAAGCAGTTTTACAGCTGATGAGATACAGCAGCAGCACATGGCTGGTGGGGGGTGGAGCTACAGCGACCACCATGAGCCACAAAGCCTTGACAAATGCTCTTTTCAGGGTGCTGCACTCCTGCTTAGACACCAGGTGGCACTGCTCTGCTTTGTCTGTCCTACAACACTAGCTCCAGCTTCTTCCTATTGTATAGAATATCTCTATATGTCTACAGAATTGTCGAAAATCCTGTCTCCTATGAATTCTTCTTTCAAAACTCCGAAATTGCAGTGTTCAGCAAGAGTATAAACTGCAGTAATAACAAGATTCAGCTATTTCTCCTGTTTCCATATTCAATTTGTACCTTTCATATGTGACATTTTGTTTACCCATGAAAAGGGACATGGAAAGGCTCTTAGGGCATGTCCCCATGCACAGGAACCTGTGTTACCCCGGGGACAAACAGCGGTGGCACAATGTGTGCCCCTGCTACATCTCCCTGCTTTGGCATGCGGCACATTGCCCCAGGTGGGCCTTACCTGGGGTGTTGGGGGCCTTTGGGAGCTGCAGCCCTGGTGATCCTGCAGCAGGGAGCCTGGCCAGCAGCCAGAATGTTGCTCCAGCGGGGCAGTCTCCGGTTTTGGGTGGCATGTGCTGCCACCCCACTTCTTTTAGGTACAGGTTTTTTTGACCCCAGGATCTCCTGAGGTCACCCCCCCCCCCCTTGCAAATTAGCAGCGCGGGGAATGCCTGCATGTGCAGTGTGTGGCACCACAGACAGGTCTGCAGTGCCGCACACTGCATGTCCATGCTCGTCTGGATGCGTCCTTATAATCTATATCCATTCTTTACTGGTGTTTGTGACAGGCTTGTTGCTGCCAAGGCGGTCATGACGCCCCTGTCGCTCCTGCCTGGCGCACACGATAATGCCATTCTCCCTACATTACTTGCCTGTCACATCTTGTTCTTAAATATTATAGGATAATTCAGGGAGGCTGCCAACAGGCCTTAGAGTGAGCCCTCACCCCTATAAGTTTCCCTTTAGTCTCCCCTGAGACCCCACTGGTCTCAGACCAGCCCTCAGGCTTGGTAAGTCCCTCTCAGCCTGACTAGGGCACCAGGAGCCTTAAGGGCAAACTGCGTGGATCCTTCATCGCCCCCACCCATGGCCCACACCTCGCAGAGATGCTCTTTGATCTTTCTCTTTATACACTCGGCCCCCTTTGGGCCCCCGGACCCCCCACTTCCTTACTCAGTCTCCCTCAACACTGTCAGACCCTCGGTCCTCCACGCAGCCCCTCCTCCGGGCTCTCAGTCCCTCTAGTTTGGCTTGGCCCGCTCTGGGCTCATGTACCCTCTGGTCCAGCTCCACCTTTCCCTGGGCTCTTGAACCTTTGGGCTTGGATACCAGCCCTTTTCTAGACTCCTGGGCTCCTGGCTGGAGCCCGTCTCAGTCTGAGGCTCCTGGGTTACTGGTCCTCTAAACAGGCCTTCAGCCTGCCCCAGCAGGGCTCAAGGCTAAACCATTGGGCTAACTCAAATAAACAAGAGACGTGGCCACCCTTTGGCAGATGCCTCTCCCCTCCAAGGGTTTGACATAAAGGCCACTCACCTGCAAACCCAGTCTTTCTTAGCTCAAGGGCTTGCCTCGGTTTCCAGACCTGCAGGGCTGTCCCGCAATACCCAGTCCATTCAGGAGCACTGCAGCCAGGAGATCCTCACTTCTTGGTTGCTGAGAAGCCACAAGCCCAGAGCCTGCACTGCTCAGCTAGTCTGGCTCCAGCCTGAGCCTGTCCCAGTCAGGCGAGTCCCTCGCTAGCTCCCCTCTGGCAGCTGCAGTTACAAAAGTGCAAGTGTCTAAAAGTGAGTGTAAAGTACTCACTTTTAGACACTTGCACTTTTGTAACTGAATACACCGAGTGCAAGGTAGGTTAGAACAAGGTTTGACATTTTTTTACATGACTCTTGACCTGCAGTGTCCTTTCCTGTACTATCTACTTGCTACACCCTCTGTTTGGATCATATCCTTATTGGTGAAGAAGCCCTGATTTCTACCTACTCCTTAAGCCATTACCACATTTGTGGGCTTTGTAAAGCAATGATGATAATGATGTTGATTCAGCTTTGGACTCACCCCTCACTCGACTGCACCCTTTTCTTTTCTCTTGTAGATTCATAGCCCTGCCCCTGAGCAAAAAGCTGGGTTTAAGGGACAAGATGAGAGTGAAAGCTCTGCCCAGTCCTGTACTGGATACATTCTACACTACCCATAGCAAGAACCCAAAAGAGGTGAGTCCTTTTTTCCCTTTCATTATCACACTTTTGGCCTTCCAAATCTGGGATCCTCTTAATCACTATAAAGCTAATTCAATTGAACTAAACTTTCTACCCTAAGTTTGCAAATCTAAAGTTTGGTAGCTCCATTTGGCTTTAGAGATGCAAGTTTATACCCAGCAGAGCAAAGCACATACTGTTCTCCTGGCATGAGCAGAAGCCTGGGAGGCCCAGCACCACCACAAATGTCACCAGAAGTGAATCCAATTTTTGTGCACATGTGAGGCCACTGTGTTGGTATTGATGCATTTATGACAAGTGAGAAGCCATTAGACACAACATGCTGCCATTTATTGTGACCTAGCATACACAGCCTGCTTGATAGCAACAGTTCTCCAGTGGTTCACTACTTTTCTGTGAAATTTTTGAATTTAGGATTAGTCTTCCTGCTACATGTTAGTAGTCAGGGTCCTGGGCCACATCTCA